ACAGCGACCCCTGTTATATGCTGTCATAAAAATTGTGAGATGTCACTGCCATATATTATATATGAGTGTGTTTTGCGCCATTTTTCTGGTGATGCGTGATGCCAACACTTTTGTGTTTGGCCCTGTCACCTTCTATGTCCTGTACCCTTCTCTTTCTCTCACTCCGCGCCATTTGCCATTTTTAATTGTTTACCTGGACAACAATAGAGGGACAAAGCCTTTTGTTTTTTCCCCCCTCCAATTCAATGCGATTCGACGAGAGTGCTACCGGCATAAAAAATAAAAATCGAAAGTGAACATTAAAATTGGATGGTCTGCAACAGGTTCGAGGACGAAATGGAATTAAAACGAGCTGGACTTTAAGTTTTCGGGGGGCACGCGAAGAGGCCAAGGACTCTCTCTCGGCCTCTTGGAATTTTCGAGTTCGCTGATTTCGGGACTCACATCATTTGTCTGCTGACTGGGCAACCATGAATCTGCATTTACTTTCGGTGCCAGAACTCCCTGGCTTTTTTTCTGAATCGAAAAAGAGCCCTTGGGAGGCCATGTGTGCATGAATATAATTTCGGGTTATGGCCTGTTTGTCCATCAGCTTGTAAGGGTGAAAATATACATATATAAATGAATATATGTATATATATGTACATATATATCGTTGGACATGAAGGAGCTATTAAAAGCTCCTCCACGTTTTCTCCCCCCTTGAAGGTTCAGAACAAACAGTGGCCTGGTGATGGTACCTTGGACTGCTGTCTTTGTCTTCGGACTTAATGGTAATCCCAACTGCTGGGGGTAAGGGTAAGCTGGCCAGGGGCTGGTACTTGAAATCCAGCTGGCCAGTGGGCGGTGCTGACGTTTGACATTGACTGGCTGATAATATAAATATCATTGTTGCTTGCACATAATTAAGTTGGACAGCCGACGAAGCTCTGCGGCAACCACGGCGTGTTCACAGTGGAGCAAGTTAATCAGGGATAAAGACTAATTGGTTTTAATTGAATAGAAAGGTTTTCAACGGTTTGTAAATGTGAGATTTATTAATAAATAAATATAATTTTCTAAGAGTTGTGAGGAAAGCTTTGGGAATTGCAAATGGGAGTCATACACTGCGTATGAGTGATGTAATTAATTATTTATTTTTATAAACGAATCAGTAATGTTTTATCTATTGATTTTGGCAAGCAAGTAATTATTTAAGAATTTATGAGATTTAAGATAAGCCTTGACAGTTTTTAATGAAAATAAATAAGAATAAAAATCATACACTGCGTATGCGTGATATTTCTTAGAAGCAATTGCTGTTTATCACTCATTCGCAGTGTTGGTTTGGCTTTTAGACTTACAGAACTTATTTTATTTAAATGATTTTAAATGATTTTAAACTCAATAAATAATTTTGCCACTTGATTTTTGTATTTTTAATAGCTTTCTTTATTTTTATTAATTTACATTTCATAGATTCCTGTGCTAGTTTCCTTTAGTAACCACTGTATTATACTTGATTGTGTTTTTAGTCCTGCTGCCACTGGCTTTAACTTTATTTGTGTGTGTGTGTGCAAGTGTGTGTGTGAGGGAGTGTTGTTGGGCTTGGTAATAATGCGCCTAGTGCCATTTCCAGTTGGCAGTCTGTTGGCTTTCGGCTTTGGTCGCTAATTAAGCCTGTTTATCGAAGTAAGTTAGCTGTTCAACTTTCGCAAGCCTTCAGCCCGTAGCCAACCCTCCCTATATAGTATCCCTCTCTCTCTCACCCCAAAATGTTCATCCTTAGTTTGGTTTTATCAGCTAACTAAATTTGATGTCAGGATATGTGTGTGTGTGGGGTGTGTGTGAGGGTGTTAGGAGGTGTAGTTGTACTACATACATACATAGTTGTGCTTGTGTCGCCACAGCAGAATTCGGAGCGCTCTTAAGTGCAATAATAAAGCGATTCTCGTTAATGCCGCAAAGCCTTCGAGTTCGAGTCCCTAATTGAGTAAATTATCGAGGGAAATGAAAATGGTTAGCCATATGCGAGCAACTTTGCGTAATTGTCACACACGGAGGATAGTAACAGGAATATAAACTGAAGAAAATAATGGTAGGAAATTATAAAGAAGTAAATAAAATAGAAATAAGCAAAAAATTAAGTTGGAAGATAAAGAAAGCTATGGAAAGTAATATACGAAAGCTTAAAACCTAGATAAAAGGCATTAGTTTTAGAAAAATAAATAAATAAAATAATAATATATACAAAAATAAATAAAAACAATTGTTTATATAAGTTAATACATTTTTTTTAAGCTTTTAACTTATTTTTGAAATAAATTTTAGGTTAAATTTTAATTAATTAACATTTTAAATATATTTTTATGATGGTTTTATTAAGTTCATTAATTATTAATAAATATGTATTAACAGTATTTCTCATATTACAATAAATTATCATTATCTATTCTTTTCCTATATTATCTCTCAGTGTCTTTATTAATTTCCCTTTATGCATTGTGTCTGTGACAGAAATCAGAAATGGAAATCACTATAAGAACCGACTTGTGGTTAGCTTTGTCCCTGACAATTTATTAGCCGCCAAAAGTTAACTTTAGATGACACATCCCCGCGTTCACAGGAAAAGCCGCAATCAAAAGCAGAGAGAAACCACAAATTTAAGGGAAGGATACTTTAGATAAAGTGGCTCACAGGTAAGTTGAGGTTATCAGCCATCAGCCATCAACTGGCAACCTTTTTTTGACCACTTTTATGTGCACATGTGATGCTATTTCTTCCCCCTGCAGACAAACTTTATAAACATTTTGAACCTCGGGGGAAGAAAACTTTTCGCCCTGCATGCAGTTTATTTGCTTCGGTTAAATCGAATTTAATCTTTGAACTGCAAAACTATTTTATCCAGTGAAATAAATCGCCGATCTGGGCTTAAGTGGAGGAAAGCTTAACTGCAAACTGCGGGAAAATTGAACAGAATCATTTCGTTTTTTACAAAATTGTCCTCTCTGCTTTATTTTCCATGTATTTTTCTAGTACTATATATTTTTCTCATGTTTCCCAAATTTGCAATTGAGTTGTGTGTGCATCGTAAACAAGAACGAATAATGGGAAATACAAAAAAAAAAGAAAGGAAATGCCTGAATAAAACTATTTCCACTTCGTTGCCTGGGAAATATTCGAAAAAGAAGAGACACCGATACTCATGACAAATAGATAAATGTGCGTGAGTGCAACGAAGCGCATGATTATTAATAATAAAACAAAGGAATTTTTTCAGTTTTTACATTCCCCAGGGGCATTGGCAAAAACCCACATTCGGACCATTGAACCTTTCTAAAAGTGCTGCCAAAAGTTCAACTCGAGTTGAAACTGAACCTGAAACTGACACTGAATCTCCTCCTTCACTCAAATGCTGGCCATGAATCATGCTGAAAACCCTGGCCAAACAAGGACACATTGGACATCGGACATCCCCTTGGGCCGCCGCCAGAGACATGTGTCCGTCCGCCCCACTCCTGATCTCTCACTGAAAGTGATTTGCACTCTCGGTCCTGGTGTTGGTCCTGTGGATAAATGTTTGGCCCTGCCCTGACACAGTCCTATCCTGTCCCTTCCGTTTCTCCCTGTTTGTCAGTGGAAACTAATAAGTGAGGAGAGGATTATCCTTCCTCTCATTGCACACATGGTTGGGGTGGAGAAGCAGGAGCAGGAACAGGAGCATCAGGTGCATAAGTCATAAAGCTTTTGCATTGGCGAAGGGCTGTGGCTGCCTTTGCTAATTAGCAATTAATGAAGCGCACAACAACATGGAGATTATCGGGCAGGCACTGAAATTATAATACCTAGGAACAACCAATTAGATGGGCACTGGAAAAAATATTTGTTCCTTGAGAAAAAATAAATTTCTTCGAATTAAATGTATAAATTTTCTTATGAAAAAGGTAAATTAAATATAATTTAAATAAAAAGAAAGAAAGTGAATATAAATTCAAGTTAATAATACGAAAATTAATTAATAAATTCCGTATTTACTTTTAAAATAATTTTAAATTAAAATAAATAAATAAATGAAAATTCAAATAAAACAAAAACTTAAATGAGAAACCAGAAATTAATCTTAGATATTATTAAAATTAATTTTATAAAAGCCTCCATACCTTTTTAAAAGTAAAAAAAAAATATTTTAAATAAATAAAATGTATGCAAAATAAATAATTTAATATAATGTAAATTATATAAAATTCCTTCTTACAATTATAAACATTTTAAACCTAAATTTAAAGCAAAAAAATGTAGCAAAAATGTAACTAAAAATAAGTAAAATATTTCTAACAATATATAGACATTTTCTTGAGCACAAAAACACTTTAAAGAAAAATAGCTACAAGCATGTAAAACAATCTAAACATTTTCTGTACAATATTTTCGCCTCTTTTTCCTTTAGTTTTTATCACAACTTGTAGCCTACAAAGCTGCAACACAATGGACTTAACTTGTTGTAGAAAAACGTACATTTGCTTGTGAAAATATTTAGTGCAAAACTTAAGTGGTTGTTTTTCACAACATTTACAAAATAAAGAAAATAGAAAAAGAGCTTGTAAAATCACGGGAAAAATTTCCGGTTGTCTGTGTTTGCAGAATTTAAGCAGTTTGAGAGAATTAAATTTAAGAAAAACTAATTATAAATAAATAAGAAATTAAGTAGAGTTTCTGATATGTTAAAAACTTAACAGAAATACCAAAAATTTATAAAGAGAATTTTAGCTTTGAAAAATATTTAAAAATACAATTTTTATTTGCTCTCTTACTTTATCTTGGCGCTTGTCATTTTTTAATTTTCACGCCGCATGTGGCTAGACATAGATGTTATTCCGGGAAATGCCTCCCCCCTCCTTCCCGTCTGATAAGCGGCATAAGTTGTCCGGACAAATTACGCTAATTGGCAGACCGATAAGCAAAGTGTGCGGACCAAAGGCCTGCATAAAAGCCAGTGCTCCCTCATGGTTCCAGCCAAATTCGAATCACACCCAGCCGGAAGATGAGGGACCTGAAAACACTCGCCCTCTTGGCCGTTATTCTGGGCATCTTTGTCTGCCAATCCCTGGCCCATATACCAGTGAAAGAACCTGAGGAAGACTGTGATCCAGATGATCCAAATAATCCAAATAATCCAAATGGCCGCGATGATGATACCGCGCTGTGCGCCAACTTCCAGCATATACGCAATCTGATCGATCAGGATGAACTTCAGACCCTCATCCAGCTGCACTATAATTGCGATGTCAAGTTCCGGCGGGCCATGCGTTATTACAAGACCGCCGGCTTTGTCAAGGTCACCAGCGAGCTGACCGAGACGGACGCATATCAGACCATTTTGAGGGAACTGCAAGCAGCCAGTGTGGACACGGCGGAGATAGATAATGTGGCTGAGATCTTTTACTGCATTGTTTTGCCCGTTGAGCTGCCGGATCGTGAATGTGACTGCAAGAAGGTCAAGGGTCATACTTTTGTGAATGATTTGCTGTACATAATGCCACGCGAGGAGGTCCATGACTATGTGGCCGAGTCACAGGAAAAGCAAACCAACTTTGGTAACTTTACAATTGCTGTCACCTCGCCAGCTTTCCAGGCCACCCTCAAGGCCAGTATTGTGAGTATATAAAGATTTATTTATTGGCCAGAAAATATATACTTTAACATTCGTTTTAAATCCTCACAGAAAAAGAAGGACGTGGCCAAGCCTTTGCGCACCCTGCGCAAAAATGGCTGGGACATCCCGGTGCTTCTTCGTGCCATGCTGGTGATTTTCAGCTGGTAAAAGGGTAGGAGTACTTCCACTGTAAAAGCATATCGTCTGTATATTTTGTATGTAAACCAAATATAGCAACAAGTGAAACGAAACAAAAGGCTCGTACACTCACTCACTCACTCACTCACCCGTGGACACTCTCTGTTGACACCTGTCCTTTGGGGGAGTGCCAAGTGTCCACCCGCTGGGCTCGGCAGGACATCAAAAGTTTTTCAGTAGGACTTTTCAGAAGGCTCTCCTCTCACGCTGCCGCTGATAATTGCCTTCAATTTGTAACTGCAACAGCGGAAGAGGAAGTGTCGAGGCAGGAAGGAAGGAAGGCAGACAGGAAGGATTCGTGTTGGAGATAATCAATTAATGATGATGTCCCTGGCCTTTGTTCGCGCTTTTCAGCTAATTTTCATTTCAATTCCAGGAAAATGTGGCTGTCAAAGCGCGTGCCTTGAGTGTTATTTTCCAGAAGCAAAGCTGGGTAAACATTAATTAGGAAATTCGCGAGTAGATAATGATTTTCTAAGTATTTACAGGTGTATTGTTCAAGAGAAAATGGAAATTTAAAGAGAGATTATATGTACAGAGAGAAATAAGGTATTTGAAGTAGAAAATAAACTTCTTATTTCATTAAGAAATTCTGTCAGAAATAAACCCTAATCCATTAAACCATTCGAATTTCTTAAATTTTTCTTAAGATTTTTTATTAGTTCAAGGACAATTAACTTTCCAGCTTGCTAGATTTCTCCAGTGTTCTCTAATTGGACCCCATATTCCCATTAAATTTAGCTCTCCTTCGGCACTCAGCTAAAGTCCTAGTCCCAGCTGGGTATTTGATTTGCCATCCATCTTGGCAACGTATTTTTAGGCATCGATTGGGAGTTGCTTATCGGATGGTTATCAGGATATTCGTTTGGCAAACGAATTAAGACTCGTTACGCTTTCATTGCCTGAGCTCAATTTACGAGTTGCCAGCTGTCGTGGGTATCCATTTTTACCCCCACTATCCTTCCAGGACTACTCACCAGCCTTACCTATGCAGTCGTGCAATTTGAGCGGCACAAATGCCTGCTCATAGCAATTGATTTATGCCTGCGACGTGACTTCATTTCGGTGCTGGCATCCAGGCATCCAGGATCCTAGCTCCTGGTTGGGGTGCAGCACCTGTTGTCGTCGTCGTCGTCGTCGTCGTCCTTCCTCTTATTAAATTAACAAAGTAACAACCTCACTGCTGTGTGTATGTGTGTTTTTGTTTGTGCAGGCGTGCTTATCCTGGCCAGGCCAAATCCGATGCCATTATGCATTATAACTGTATAAACAAATCGTGTGCGTGCCCCGCCCTTCCACGCCTTCGTCGAAAGTACGTGCCAAAAAAACAAACACCCCCAACAAATACCCGAGTCTGGAGTCCTGCAGGACTCCCTCGAATCTCCGGCTCGTGTGTCAATCAAGTTAAATGTTAATGAATTACTCGGCCTCGGTGCCAGGACATGCTGACAGGACCAAAGCGAATGATGCCAAGAAGTAGGACCAGTAGGCTCCTGTTCCTGTTTTGCGGTTAAGGCCTCTGATCCTTGTTGAGGTATAGGGACTCAAAGGAGCTTTAGGACAGGGTAATAAATTATTAGAAAATGAAGGTGCTCTTTAGACATTATAAAACAATTTAAAGAAATACGTTCAGGCTTGAAAGTTTCAAGTTGAAACAAATTTAGAAAAATATTTTTATACTAAATATAATTATTTAAGTGGGAAAATAGAGTCCTTAGAGTCCTTTTTCTCCAGGGGTAACTAACAAGTCGACAGTATGCACGAAACTTTCACTGCCACTGCCATGGTCAAGACTGAAGGTCCTTTCGCCTATCTTCTGGCGAGTTCTGTCCGTCTTTTCGTCCTGTTGTCCTGCCTGTCCATTCGTCCTTCGGGCTGTCAGCGAACAGGGGCGAAATAAATCGTTGCATACTTACGTGAGCAAACAATTTTCGCTCCTGCTTCGCTTACGTGGAACGCGGTCCTTACGTGTCATTGAATTCATTACGCTGTCAGCTCGCTTTCTGGGGCGTGTGCAGTAGATTAAACCCACAAAAAAATACAATAAAAATAACAACAATATATATATATATAAATATATAAGAAAAAATCAAATAAAGGCAAGCCAGCAATTTGCATGTTGAAATGAAATAATTAATTAACGCTGTCATTGCCGGAAACGTGATTTGGTTTCCCAAACAACAAAGAATGCCATATGTGAAGCGTAGCCGTCAACATTAGTCATAAGGTCAAAGAACATGTTGACTTAATTGTATTTTTTTTTTGTTTTCCAGCATTTTCAGGTAATTATGTTAAGCTCAAAAACATCAATCCAATTATGATGGCAATTTTAATGAATTATTGATTCCAACAAGAGCGGCAAAAAGTAGCAATTAATTAATGTTAAGGCTAGCCAGTAATTTATTTTAACAGGATTTACTTTTTTTACAGACTTTACTATTTGTAGAATATAATTTTAGGTTTTTTTTGTTTTTAAACTGAAGTGGTATTTGGCCAAAACAAGCTCTTACAAGTTCTCCTCCTTTTTCAAGGCAAAAGTGTAATTGTGGGGAGAATTTTGCTACAAATTGTTGGCTTGATTTGTTCGGAAATTGTATTATGGTAACGAATGCGGCTTCTTCTCTCTCTTCGCTGCAACGAATGTGATTTGAGTCGATTGATTTCCACTAACGGTTCGATTGCCAAGTGCAATATGCTCGGCTTTCAGCCATTCCAAGGGCTCTTCTTGCCAACAAATCGAGTTTGTTTTCTCTATTTTTTTTGTGTTCTGCAGAATAATGGCTGGTATTTTGTATTATAAGGAAGACAACTATGTTTAATAGTTGAAAAGTACTTAAAGTGTGATAAATTACAAAGAATAGGTTCAGCAGATATTCCAAAAAGGCAATAGAAATAGATTAACTAAGAAATATTTTATTTTATAATAAATGTAGGTAAATAATGAATTATTTATAAGTATAAATCTAAACTTCCTTGATTTTTAGATGACCTATGCCCCTGGCTACCCACAAACCTTGACCTCATCTCCTGTTTGAATCCTATTACCAACTTCTGCTCTCTCTCTCTACGACTTTGCACTATTGGGAATTCGAGCTGTGCTAAAGAAATGTGCTAAAATAATGTGTTTCGTTGATAAAACTTTTCCCACTCAATGCTCTCATAACACTTCAGATTTATGGTCCATGCTATTGGAGATAGCAGCATCTCCCTTCGGCAAGTCCTGGACAGACCAGGACAGTACAGGATTCGTTAAGTGAAACCGCTGCACGGGCCAATGGCCATAAATAAATGGGGAGTATCAGCTAGCAAATCTCATTACTCGGACAGCGGTCATCCTTCGGCTCCTTCGCGATGAGATTGTCCAGCTGGGGAAACCGAATCCCCTCCAGAAGCGGCTTATCTGTCGGTCGTCAATTGGCCTCGAGGAGTGCATGTTTAATATATATATAGGTATATATGTTATATCTCTGCGATAAATAATACATTGTCCTGCAAGGATTTCAATGTGGCAATTGGATCGGCTTCGACACTCTTAACCAAGCGAGCTTTAAGTGAATTTTGCGGTTTCCAATAATGCATAAATTAATGGCCTCCATGCCGGAAAAGGGACAAGGATGCGAACACAGACAGGATACAGCCATCGGTGGAATTACTTGTCGTTGTCGCCGCCATCGAACAAAGCTGGCCAAATGTTTTCAGTTTAATGAGAAGAGTAGAAGAATGTAGATGGAAGAATGGGTTTTAACTGAATGAAAAGATAAATCGAAGTTGGGATGCCCTAGATAAATTTTAAATTAAAAATAAACTTGCTTAAAAATGTAATTTACTATAAAAAGTATTCAAAATGAAGTAGGAAATAGGAATCTTCATTAATTATTATACATAAATTTTCTGATTAACCTTAAGTTATATTAAAACTGACACAAAATATCGATATATGAATGCTGTATAGATTGTTCTTTCGATATATAGGCGATAAATTTATATTATATTTAATATATAAGATCCTAATAATCAGAAAAAGAGAAAAATAAATAAAATCCAATTTCTTTTTTTTAATATTTTATCATCGATAAATAATAATGTTATTTTTAAATTTCAAATTTCGATATACAAAATTTCACGATACTTTCGATAATAATATTTATACCAAAATTCAATTTTTAAGTTTTAATTTTAATTATTTATTTCAATATTTCCCACAAAAAACACTTGAATCCTCTTATTTACAGCTGAAACTATCTCCCATTTAGCTCTTGAATTTATTTAAAAATAATTATATTAAAGGTTGATTTACATCGCACATTAAGCGGCCATTTACTGTATTCTTAATGACAATTTAAATTAATTAAAGCCTTTAGGCGCCATGGACAATAGCTGCGGGCGAAATGCCATCAGTTATTTGCGCAGACCATGCACAATTTCAGGGCTTAAATTTCCAGCCAAACTTAATGGCCGAGTTAAATTCCATAAATGTTTTACAAGTGAAACAGCAAATAATTGGCAGCACGCCAAACGAGTTTTCCCCCCAAAAAAGAGCAAACTGGGAAATGGGTAAGAGAAAGGAAAAGCTCAGAGACAATGGTTGAAAATTTTGAGGAAACTATAAGTCCGTTTTTGGAACTTTTATGCAAGGACGCGCGGGCATAAGTAATTATAATGGAATTGGGAATCTTTGGCAAATATTCTAATTATCAAAAAAATCATTAAAAGAAAAAGAGAAAAGCGGAAAAAACACTTGCTTTGAAATAGTTTCTGGCCCAGAGCAGTTGTAAGATGAGCTCAAGTTTTGCCAACTCCAGCCAGCAGGAATATTATTATTTTTTTGTTGTATTTTTCCTGTTGACTCTTATCTCAGTTCCCAACTATTTTCCTGCTGCCCCCTCCTCGCCTGTGGCCTGTAAAGTAGCCATGCGGGCGTTGCTTTTCCTAACCAGCGCAAATATTTTAACCTACACACAGGACGGGGGACGCAGGACACAAAAAACCGGGCTACCAGATACAGGCCAGGCCAGGCCAGCGAGGATTCCGGGGTTGGCCAAGTAAATAAATG